GAGATCCTGTTATTTTTTGGAGATTCTTCTGGTATGGGTTTAACTACCCCGGGTATGCTTGAGATCATCTGTGTCAACTACTGAAGTTCCCTAGCCATGTTTGGACTTATTCATGCATCAACATTCATAGAGTTAGTATTGATAGTATTGTTGTTTAAGAAGTTACTAGAATCAAGGTTTCTAGGAGTATTGAAAGGCTCATCGAGATCATTGATCATAGATGCTCGATTATTCATAGCCGTCCCCCAGGGTGATGCAACAGTAGCATGGGTTTTGTTCCCCTGTTGATTTCCTGAGGATCCTGTATTGTCAAAGTTAAGGATCCTTTGGTTGTACAACTGCGGGCATCGTTTCCTGGGATTTCTTAAATTCCGCCTTCATCCTCTCTACTTCTCTAAGTAGTGTTCTATTGTCGTCTTGCTGCTGAGTCATCTGTTGCAGTATTTTCCTCATCATAGTGAAGAGTTCAACAGTAGTAACCGGAGCAGTATGATCCTAGAGTCCTAAAGATCCTAAACTTCCTTGGTTAGTAACCGGAGGAGTGTTTCTCTTGGAAGTATCAGGCGCTTTCCTCTGACTAGGGGGTCGACTCGGATGAGGTGGTAGTTTTTGGATGGAATGGAAAGAGCGGAGGATGAAGAAAGGATCGGTTGTGTAGACATGATCTTTCGAGGATTTTGAACACCACAACGCCATGGTGGGCGCTAAATTGTTTTGGTCAAAATTTACACAAGTATAAATCAACCAAATTGAATGAGAGGTTGTGATGTTCGAATTGTGCAATAGAGAAAGATAAAGAGAATGACACGATTGTTAACATGGAAAGCCCTTGATCCTTGTTAGGATCTCCGACACAAAACCTTGGGAGGTGATAATGATCACCTGCCTTGATGATTTTATTAATATAAAATGATGAGTACATAGAGTATTTCAGTAAGAACAAGTGAAAAAGTTTGTAGAGTAAGCTAAGAGTCAGTAGAGTGTGTCGTGTGAGATACATGTGTCAATTTATAGTCTAAACTAGCTAACAAGATGTTCGATACTCCCGGGATCCTCTATGACCAGCTTTGTGAATGTTGTTTGACTTGGTATTCTGGGTCTTTAACATAGTTAAGACGACTCTCTATTGAGAATAAGTCTTCTCTTGACTATGTCTGCACATATGTTAATTAAGAACTAAATATAATCGTTATAAATGTTAGTAAATAATAATAACGGTAATAGTCGGGATCCTGACATAGTTGAGGATCCTGAATATCTGATGAGGTTTGAGTATCCTGGCACTAACATATATATATATATATATATATATATATATATATATATATATATATATATATATATATATATATATATATATATATATATAGTGGTAATTAAGGAAAAATAAAAAATTAAAGTTCAAAGATAAATCCCTAAGGTCAATGTGTTAGTGAGTTGATAATTCGTCCAGGGGCCTTGATTAAGTTCAACATTTTCCCAATATCCATAATCGTTAATCTTGCGAGAGCATAAAAAAGCGTCGATTATTGGGACTCACGGTAATACAATAGATCACCTTAAAGTATAGTTGATTATAGGGGTTCATGCTAATACATTAAAATCGTCTTAGAGTTTAGATTACCATTAGGGACGTCTGTAATGGTAATTAAAATATGTTAGGATCGTTAGATATTCTAAAATGATAGTAAATTAGGATTAATAATATTATCCTAGTTAAAATACATTAGGGTCGTTAGATATCTTAAAAAGATAGTAAACTAGGATTAATAAAAATATCCTAATTAGAATACGTTACGATCGTTAGATATCCTATAAAGATAATAACTTAGGATTAATAAATGATATCCTAATAAGATAAAAGATAGGATCGTTAGATATCCTAAAAAGATAGAAATATAGGATAATAAAATATTTAAGGAAAGTTTTTTCTCAAAGAAAAAGGATTCTTAAAAGTTACCCAAAATCAAGAACTCTAAAAACATGTGAGCATAGCAACATTACATTGACATTTTCAAAAACTCATGTATTCCTAGGAGGTTGTGAGACGGAAGCCTACACTCTCGGAAGCAACAACTGATGGAGGAAGCAGCTAGAAGACCCTTGTAGTTTATCGTTCATGTCTATCTGTTAGGACACCTTTCTATAATAGTAACCTAGAAATCCGATGTAACGTTTTATCTATAAATAAAATAGATGTTTATGTTACATATTCTGTTTTGTACTGTTCAATATATGTTCAATGATTAAGAACCAACATCCCTACGACGCTCTACCTGGCATTTCAGTCGACGGTCGTGTAGGGTGTGATAGTATGCCTTCAATCTACCAACAACTTCATTAAATAACATCGAATCCAACTTAAAACATTGCTCTATGGAAGCCACGATTTGAGGAAACGACTTAGATATCGAATCAAGTAACCTTTTCACCAAATCAACTTCTTCAAGCTTGTAACCAAGAATCTTTATTTTTGACGCTAAACCGGATAATTTGGTCACAAAATCATCAACCATTTCACCCTCCTTGATGCACAATATTTTAAGCTCCCTTTTTAAGGTTGTAAGTCGTGCCGTTCTCACTCGATCCACTTCTAAATACCGTGTTTTTAGCCTATCCCACACTTGATTTGCATCAGTGTAACTCGCCATTTGCAATACCATGTCTTTGGGTATTGCTTGAAACAAAAATGCAAGAGCTTGTTTTGACTTCTTTTGATCCGGTGCTTCACCTAACGCTCTCGATTCAACCGTCTCCCATATGTTGTGTGCATCCATAATCGACTTGACTTTGAGTGTCCACACCAAATAATTCGTTGGAGTCCAAACCGGAACTTGATACATCATCAAACCTCATTCTTTAACCATCAATATCCTATTATCTCTTTTGACAAACCAAACCTCTTTAATCTAGCTTGTTCCAATAGCACTTTTCCACCAAACAATAAGACAAAGTCACAATCACCTTTACAGTATCCGTTACCCGCAAAACAAAATGAACCGAATCAAAGCCACCCACTTTGATGCCATCCCATCCTTTTATTCTGCGCATCCGGTTAGTCTCTCGCTACCTTAGAACAAGCTCGATCAAGAGAAATCGGGGATGCTTGCGATCAAAACCGAATCACACCCCTTCAATGGAACCGTTGTGATACCAAGTGTAGAAAAGTAAACTTTTTTTTGTGGTGCAAGGAAAAATGAAACATAAGAAGAATATAAGGGAAGAAAAAATTGCTTAGCTCAAAAAGTTAATTAAAAACGGTAGTACTAGAATTGCATAAACAATTGACCCTAGACACCTTATTTATAGTACAATAAATAAAATAGAAACCTAGTATGATACTAAAACAAAAAAGTCCTTATACTAATCCAATTAGAAATCTAAATGGATTCAAAACCATGCAACCAATAGATAAAAACTACGAATGTAAACTTTCCTATTTTATCCTTGAAACTAAAAAATCATTTTTGGATATTCAAACCAATTAATCCAATAGTTACCAAATGGTTTCTAGTTTAATAGTATCAGGTGTTGCCCTCCCTTCTTTTTGAGATCGAAAGTTCAAGTTGGAATTAGGAATATATTAGATTTACCATAAAAAAAAACATATTTAAGAAAGAAGATGGTAGTTACATCTTTAATGTAATTGTGGAGGTCCTTCCTTCCCCTTTTATTCATCTAGCTTATATATTTTTTGGACCTATATTTACAGGCAATCAGTTTGTTAATTGGTGAAAAGCAAACAGAGTACCTTTTGTCTTTGTTTACTCTCTTTGTCAAAGGCCAAAGCTTGACTGTTTTTTTGATGCATAAATTCAATTGATGTTACACCCATCTTACGACCACATTATGTTCAAATAAAATGCATCAAGATAACACGTAAAATAGTACGATGTCATATTTCAAAGTGAAGTTAAATGAGTACTAATAATTGAAATCATGTAATTTCTATTTGAACTTATAGTTATCTCGTGTAAATGTTCAATAGTTCAAAAGCATGACGCAGGAACAGGTTGGTGAATTAGATATGTTCCGGGTTGCTTAAATAGACTTGACATGCAAAACTTTTTTTTTTTTTTTTTTTTTTTTTTTTTTTTTTTTTTTATCATTATATATAAAATTTGTTATCTTTGTAAATACAAATTTGAACTTTTGTTTAACTGTATGATGTGAAATTAAGTCAGGGTAACTAATTCCACATCTCTTACTATGAAATTTCTCGACAGATTGCCGCCTATCATCAACATGCAATTGATAGGAATTTTGTATTTAGAGTTAAGATGAATTGTAAATGATACAATATGTAAATATTCCCGATATATTGTTTGAAACTCTATTAGTGTTTGTATTTGGGTCTTTATGTATTTTAGGTAAATTGTAGAAAATAATTTATCATATATACCTAATTTAACAATTTTATTTTTGCTACTTTTACATTTACTGGAAACCATAATGATGGAAAGACTTGTTGCTGAATTTCACCTGGAAAAAAACAAGTGAAAGGTCGTTGCTAAATTGTGGACAAAACTTATATAGCGAATCAATCCTGAAGAGTATTAAGCAACAGACTTGTCGAGAAGTGAAGTTTCTAAGAAGATATCAGTCTTCACTGACTTATTTTTTATTTACTACCACAAGTGGGGTGTATGGCTGCACTTAAAAATAGCTCCCATGGGAAATTTTAGCAAAAAAAAAATATATATTGTTATGTAATTGAACAATAGACCCCAGTTAATTTTTCTTTGGCACCCATTCTTGGTGAAAACACCCAAGAAAAAACTAAAAAAAAATCATATTCTTTTATTAATTTTTATTATATTTTTCCTTTATATATTTTGGCCCCCTGATGGTCTTGGTTTTGGATCCGCCACTGACTACATAATGAGTTAAGAAAACATATGAGAAGTTTCTTAACCAGAAGGCATTAAAATGAATACATATTATCTGGATGCATATATATAGGAACCTAAGAAAGAAAAGAACACTGAAAGTACACTCTATTATGCCTTCGTCAACAAATTTGAAATTTGGTACATTGTTGGCCTTCCATGTGGATTGGAGTTCAAACATGCTCTAGCAAAACTCAATACTGACTTAATTTGTTTCTCCACTTGTGGTGAGGGAAATGGAATCGGACTATCTCCCACATTTGCTAACACCAAATAATCAACAGACAATGTTGGTAGTTCACCGGGATGCCTTCCCATGATCACTTCTAGTGCAACAATGCCAAAGCTATACACATCACATTTCTTGTTTGCCACCATTGTATAAGCAAGCTCTATATCAAATAAACATGAGATAGAAAATAGTTATATCAACCCCAAAATATATTTTAACATATATATATATATATATATATATATATATATATATATATATATATATATATATATATATATACACACCGGTAAGAAATTTTTTTTGGTAGGAAGGTAAGAAGTTTTTTTCTACATATTTTTTTGACGAACAAAAAAAATGAATCACTAGTTGATTCATTTGTAAGATGATTCACAAGAAAAAATTCTCAAAAAAACATTTTGATTTTTAAGTAAATTAAGAAAAAATTTACTTTTATTATAATTTTAGTGAATAACAACAAAATCATTATATAAATGAATAATCGAGATGTTTTTTTGAGATTTTTTTCTTGTGAATCATCTTACAAATGAATCATCTAATGATTCATTTTGTTTGTTCGCGAAAAAAATATGTAGAAAAAAAAACTTCTTACTTTCCTACCAAAAATTTCTTTCTTATTTGATCTTGATTCTATATATATATATATATATATATATATATATACACACACACACACACACACACACACACACGCACGCGCACGTGCTCGCACACACTTACAAGATTATTTTACCTGGTGCAATATAATCGTATGTGCCTGCAATTGCGGTCCAGTTGGATGAGTCTAGCTTTAAAAGCTTGGATGTGCCAAAATCAGAAATATGTGCCTCATAATCAGAATCGAGAAGGATGTTTTCTATGGAAATGTCTCTGTGAAGCATAGGAGGCGAGCAGTCATGATGCATATAAGCCAAACCATTAGCTACACCCTTTACAATATTGACTCTTTTCAACCAATCCAGATCTTTTGCTAAGATGTCGCTTCTTAAGATTGATCCAAGGCTTCCCTTTTCAAGGTATTCATAAATAAAAAATGAGTGGAAAACATGGGAGCAATATCCATATAGTTTCACTATGTTTCGATGCCTTAAGTTGGTTAATGCTCGTACCTCATTAAGGAAACCAATATGATCAATATTCTCATATGATGAATAAAGTTTCTTGATAGCTACCACATTGTTAGGCTGTAGCTCGGCTTTGTAAACAATACCGTATCCTCCGGTCCCAATACAGTATGCTTCGTTGAAATCATTGTGTTGCCTTCAAGATATCTTCATACACTACTTTTCCATCAAAACTTGTAATGGAGAAATAATTACAACTTTTCTCTTCCAAAGGATTGTGTGGAGACTTTTTCTTTTGTTGGCAATAAGCAGTTAGGCCATATGTGAATAAACCAAGTAAAACCACCCCAATAAGAGGGAGCATAATTACAAGGATGATCCTATGGTGAAAGGGACCTTTTTTCTTGTTCATAATTTGGAATGAACAAAGTTTCACTCCTGTAACATTTCCACACAAACCTGGATTGCCTTGTAGGGATGCATTTACAAAGTTGGGGCTTGGGGGAACTACACCAGTTAGCCCATTGTAAGAGAGGTTGATATCAATCCCATGAGGAAAACTTGTAAAAGCATTAGAAATTGAACCAGTTAGTCTATTGTGAGAAAGATCTAGTTTTTGCAAAATTTTCAAACTTTGAACTTCAGATGGCATCTCTTTCGTGAGCAAATTCTGAGATAAATTGATTTCTGTAAGATGAATTAGTTTTCCAATCTCAGTCGGAATTTTATCACTTAGCTTGTTATTACTAAGATTCAAGTAGTGGATATGTTTCCATTGACTAATACTTCTTGGTATTGACCCATTCAATCTATTTGTGGATAAATCGACTACTTCAAGGAGTTCACAAGATCCGAGCTCTGGAGGTATAATACCTGAAAGTTGGTTATTACCCAACGACAAATTCAACATACTTTTTATCTTCCCAAACTCCTTCGGGATTTCACCTACCAAATGATTAGATGAAAGATCAAGCCTTTGTAGCCGAGTTAAATTTCCAAACTCTGGTGGTATGCTACCGCTGATGTTGTTATAGGCCATCACTAAAGCTGTCAAATTCTTGCATTTACTCCAGTTTTGAGAAAGCTGCCCGTGAAAATTATTGTGGTTGATATGAAGGTATTTTAAGCATGGATAGATGCCAAAGCTATTGGATATATCTCCAATGAATTGATTTTGATCAAAACGAGCTCTTATGATGCTAAGACAATTATGTAAGCTTCTTGAAATAAGCCCAGTGAATTGATTACCATTCACTGTTAACCTTTGAAGCTTTCCCCCATGACACAAATCACTAGGCAGATTGCAGAAAAATGATTTTTTTGCCAGTTGTAGCTCAAACAAGCCTAGACTTCCCAATCCTTGTGGAATCAAACCTGATAATTTATTTGCACGAAGTTTCAGACACTGTAGGTTGCTGAGGTTTGTTAGTGATAAAGGAATAGAACCACTAAGTTGATTGTCGTTCACTGCAAGATGAGTGAGAGACTTCAAATTCCCAAGTTCAATAGGAATAGGACCAGAGAGTTGATTTTGGCCCAAAAAAAGGACATTTAAAGATGACAAATCACCCAACGATGAAGGAATAGATCCACTTAGCTGATTGTATTTTAACGAAAGGTAAGTGAGAGATTTCAAATTCCCAAGTTCAGTAGGAATGGGACCAGATAATTTATTCACACGTAGGTATAGTTCCTGTAACTTGCTAAGGTTTGCTAGTGATAAAGGTATACAACCACTAAGCTGATTGTAGCTCACAGCAAAATAAGTAAGAGATTTCAAATTTCCAATTTCTATAGGAATGGGACCTGAAAGTTGATTATGGCGCAAAGAAAGGACATTCAAAGATGTCAATTCACCCAATGATGAAGGAATCAAGCCAGAAAACTTATTTGATGACAAATCAAGATGGACAAGTTTGTAGAGGACTCGGAGTTGTGGTGGGATAGGGCCAAAGAAGTTGTTGACACTAAGATCAAAATGTGTAAGATTTCGTAGCAAAGAGAATGCAAATTTGTGAAGCGTACCCTTTAATCCAGATCCAGTGAGGTTCAACCTGTGAATGCTCTCATCAGCATTGCAAACTACTCCAAACCAAGAAGTGCATGGAACCGATGCACAAGAATTTTTAAGGAGGGGAAGCCATGAAGAGAGCAAGGAGTTGTTTGTGATTTGAAGGCTTGCTTTCCATTTAAGAAGAACATTTGCTTCCTCCAAAGAAGCAGAAGTAGAATTTGGTATCGAAGAGAGTGTGATGATTAGTAGAGCTAGAGAGTAAAATAAGAAGTTTGAAGAAGGAATTATTGTCATGTTGCTTTATAAGAAAATGTGGTTTGCTTGTCTTAATTTATACTTTGAGCAACCTTTTTCTTTTGTTTTATATTTTCCCTATTTTTACAAAGAAAAATGATTGAAAGTGAAATTGTGTATAGTTGGTTTTGAAATCCAACATGTTTCGATTATTATTGGTTTAACAGACCTTGCCATTATTAGAAAAACCTAATATAACTTCACTATATAAAAAGTTATGACTAAAGTTGTTATCCAAAGACTAAATGAAACGTTGACAAAACAAAAGAGTATCTTGTCTGCTTCAGAATTTAATGTTATCTAATTTATTATAGAATAGAAAAAAGCCATCAAGCCACCCTGGTTTGTAGATATGTAAGTTGTCGGATTTTGTTGACAAATTACAAATTTGGGCCAAAGCATTAATTTTCAGTAAACATTGTCTTGTAATCATAAATATTATTTCTCAATTTCAAATTGTCAAATCAGTTAAAAGTCTATTTATGTTTGGAAAAAAAAACAACTACCATATATGTAGTATTATCCAGAGTTTTAAGCTAAAACATAATAGTTGTGAATTTTATTTACCAATTAATGGTAGTTTAAATTTTATTTACCAAAACATGGTAATGTTATTGTGGCATCACCTTTTTATATTATAAACTAGGTTATAACCGTAGGAACCATGGTTACAAAAATAAATAATTTTTTATAGTAAAAATTCATAATTACCGATTTCTTTCCTATATCCTTTTCATTTGTATAATACAAATTTTAAACCCATGGAAACTACAACTGATAAATTAAAATAACAAAAATATGGATAATAATAATAATAAGTAAATAAGTTAAATTTTGGCATTCTAGGTATAATATTGAATGTATCAAAACCTTTATCTTACTTACGTTGACAAAAAACAATATTCTCTTTAACAAACGACAAATAATATGTTATATCATAAGAAAAACATATATGATATTCTATAATTAACCTGTGACTAATTATAATAAAATAAAAATAAAATAAGAAGATCATGAGGAGAAAAGCTATTTGGTTTTTAATTCACCCGATGCTACCTTAGACGGTTACAAGCTATTTAAATATCCAAGGTAAGAAGATTATGGGCCGAAAAGAAAATTTTGGTAAAAACACCATAAAGGTGTATAACTAATTAACTTTAACTCCCCTTGTGTTACCTTAATTGATGTCTATTATCAAGGTGGGGCATTAACACATAATCTCTCTATGTTTCTGTATGAACTCAATTGTTGATACATCAAGGAGTATAATTATCCTTTTCTCCAATAAAAACAATAAAAGTCAAAATATTTTAGCCCTTTTTTAGAAAAATTACCAAAGTCAACATAGAAAACCATATTTCATGACAATATGATCGAAGTCACATTCTTTTTATCCAGTTATGTCACTCAAATGATCAATTCGACAATTATCCATCCATCTGCAAAATCTTTCTTGCCATTATTTAGCATGTAAAGCATAAATCCTCTTGTATAATTTTGGAGCCACCCACCGATTTGTTGAGAACTTCTTTATATCTCCAATAGTTCTTTGTAACATTATGTTAATTCTAGTCAATAACTTTATATATAAAAAAAAATAGGATAAGATTTAGAATAAAAACATAAAGTTGGATAGTTGCAGCAATCAAAGGCTTCAACTTCACTAATTCTACACACACATTCTAGCAAATTTTTATAGAATTTCTTTGGATTGTTAACAATTACTATCTCAACATCTATACATGTCACACCATTTTGCTTTTTCTTTGTTGGTAGTTTCTTTTTTATGATTAAAACATACTGCATACATCATTGTTGGCCAACGAAACATTAAATGACCTAATAGCTCCTTGTTTGTTAACAAATTAAAACTATAAGGTCACATGTAACATTAAGTAATATCAATCATATATATAATATTTGCATTCAGGAGGAAAAAGGGATGAGATTGCACTATCGATGCAACGTTATTTGAGTTGTGCCTTTGCTGATACCACATATTTAAACCAAAACATATACATTGAAATGGAAAATTAGATTTTTTTTTCTTCAGAATAGAAATGCAAGGAGCTCAAAATGTCGTTTCAGATTAATGAATGTAAATGCAAGTTGAGTTGAGTGTAATCAATAACCAAAGTATACGATATCTTTCTATTTATTTTAGTGAGAGCAATATTGTGATTAGAGGGTGCTAACACAACATAATTCGGAATCTAAGCAATATTATGAGTTTAATTTTTAACATAGAAACTTGATTACATTCAACTCTTTGATGGCTTCAGCAAAGGAATGCTTGATCGTAGTTCTCCTAGCCATTTTATCATATGCCTAGAATGCAAAAATAAAAAAGGATTATGTGTGTAATTCTTTTACAAAAACCCACAATAGGAAGGAAAAGAAGGGAATCACCAAGATTTGAGTAGTCAACTGGTTATGCTTGACACTTTTGATTAGGGAGGAATGTAATATCGTTTTTTAAATCGTACCAAATGGTAAAGCAACCTGCAATTAAACATAATTCAAGAATAAAACAATTGCACAAAACACCATAAATGAAAGATTCAACAAGATGGTACATCAAATTCCAGTGAATATTCAAACCCATTGTTGAAAATATTAGCGAAACTTGGGAAAATTTTATAATGGCGATTTGAATATGAACAAAAACGTTAAGAAAAAGGAAGAACAATAGCCCATCTTACTTATTACGATATTTTTTGAAAGGAAAGATTTGTATACCCAAGGAAATACTTGCAAGGATGGAGCAACATAGAGAAGACGAAGAGGGAGGCCGAGAGGTATTGATTATGGGAAGTGATTTTTCCACAGTATAGTTTTATACATCGACCGAATTAATAGTGCATTGACATATATACCTTATTTTAATTTAGAGATATTGAAGAGAGAAAAACAATGTTTTGAAAACCGCACCGGATATTGAACCGGTCGTATTACCGGTTTGATGGTTAAAGTGGTTCGACCGGCCCTAAAAACCGGATGAACCGTGTGTGTGTGTGTGTGTATATATATATATATATATACACACACTAAAGTGAACAACTAATATACCGATTTAAATATTGTAGAGTTTTATATGAAGTTATAAAGAAGTTCATTTGTATCATATAAGAAACAGTTTCTTGGATGGATGGTTAAGTTGCTTGGTTTTTGTTGAAATATTTCCATTGTTGGATAGATCGAAACTTGCTATCGACAAGTAATATTTTATTTGCCAGAACCCATACCGTCCCACATCATTGACATGATAAAACATACATCAATTTCAACTATACAAAAGGATTGCTCATATCCTTTTAACTCTAGGCTTGGAGGTATCCCACATCCGGTGGGACAAAAAACATTTGCCATCTTAATGCTTTATATAACCAATCAGTTGGGCTGTTGTTTAATGGACTAACCTAAGTTGACAGCATCGAACCGTGGTTTTCAATGGGTTGGACCGGTATGGTTGAACCGCGGTTCATAAAAAACCGACGGTTTAAAACGGTTTGCCATAAAAGCGGTTTTCAAGGATTAAAAAACAGTGGAGAAAAAGATCCAAAAGACAGTTGAATCTGTCGAACCGGCTGTCCGATTTTCAAAACAGTGGAGAAAAAGATCCAAAAGATTTGTTTCCATTTTCCAACCACAACGCACGGTCCTTCCTCCTTCTCCTACGGCGCTTCAATCTTCAGCCGGAAATCCGCTACTTTTGGGAAGTGATCTTGATTCTTGGTTCTATTAAAAGATCATGATCATATTTAGTCTTGATTCTCTATGTACGCCTATATGGGATTGATATCAAATATTATTGATCTAAGTTCCAGCACAATAGTTGAGGAATTTGAAATTCAATAATTGAGCTCAATATTCTTTTACCTATGAATAATGAGAAATTTACATATCAAAATAAAGTGAAACCACGTTCATGGTGAAGCTTGATAGTTAGATTTCTTTTAATCTATCATTCTTTTTACTATAGCAGAGGGCGACTTTATTAAATTCTTGGTGAAGCCTTCTTCTTTTTTGGTTCAGTTCTTCCTCCTTTTTTTTTAAAAAAAAAATTCAAGACTTCATTATTTCATGCTCTTTGCTGTAATTCTCTCCATATGCATGTGAATGATTTTAAATATAAATCTTATAAAAATTCAATAAAATTCAAGGTACTTAGCATAGCATCAATGAATTATGAATATCTTCACTTCTCTTTTTCTCATTCTCAAAAGAGGTCGCCGGAATTCTCCCCTGGAAACAAAACCGGTACCTACGCCCGCAGTGGAGGTGGTGGTCATCGTGGAGGCTGACAGTGAAGCTAGTCGTCTCTATGGTAGTTCTGAAGAAGGAAATGATTGATCACTTGATTTATTGAATTGTGAGGAACAAATTACACTTAAGAAATAAGAATCTAACTCTACAAGAAACCTCACAACGTGGCGGCTACATTTTGCCTCACTCTTTTAACCCTAATAATGAATAATACATGACTATTTATAGGGAAAAGACAAGTCTTGGGCTTTTAACCTAGAATTCATCAAAGGGGCCCATTGCCATCATCCATGAAGTGCTTTGAAACCCTACAATCTCCCCCTCAAAGTATGGAATGGATGACAATGCTTTAACTTCCAAAACAAGCATCTAGCAAATAAAAAGATCTGCGACGAGGAATATATGAAGCAATCCACGAATCTTGATTCTTCAATAGTCTTCAAACACGGGCTCTAGGATATATAAATCAAGCACTGAAGTAATGTCTTTAAACTTCATTTTCGAATGTAATCCCAAAGAATCTTCATGAAAACCAAACCCGTCATAAAAACCCATTTCAGAACAAAGAGACCGAATCACTACTTGTCTTTAAAGAGCTCCCCCTCCAAGTCACAATGATCTTCAAATAAACTAATGATATAAGCCATCAAAAAATATCATGTAACAACCCAAACTTTAAGATTCGTAATGCCACTTGATCGAGAAAATACAAGAAGTCGGAGATATAAAAAGTC